GTTCATTTGTTTCTTTGTTTGAGTCAGGGAAAGGTTCACCAGCATGGTTGTTTTAACCTTCATTCACTAAATAATGGCTTTCATGGATTAGTCTCAGTTACATTGACTTAATTTTTTTCATAGTTTTAATTTTAACTCTGATTTTTAGTTTTCAACTTTAGTACGATAAATACATTTATTGTGAAATAATAGATGTTCACAAGTATTTTTTTTCTTTTATAGGTCACAGACTTTGGGTTTGCCAAAAGAGTTAAAGGCAGAACTTGGACATTATGTGGCACTCCAGAATATTTGGCTCCAGAAATAATCCTCAGCAAGGTATGTTTAAGATGTCATTATGTAGGAAGTAGAAATATAAGGCATGCATCATTGAAGACTTTTATAAAAATAGTTTATTGATCTAATTTTATATTTTTATTTCATCTAAATTGTGAATTTAAATCTATTTGTGCATTTTTACTAAAAGAATTATTATTTAGACTCTACCACTAATCCCATAACTTCTGGCAATTTTAACTCTGGATCTAAGAGAAATAGTGTGAATAAATCTGACCTCTAGATCTATGTTTTTTGTTTCTTTCAGTTTTATTGAGAAATAATTGACTTACATCACTGTATAAGTTTAAGGTGTACAGCATGATGGCTTAATTTACATATATTGTGAAATGATTACCACACTAGGTTTAGTTAACATCCCTCATCTCATATAGAAACAAAAAAAAAGAAAAGAAAAAAAAAAGATCCATGTTTTGAAGGCAGAAGCATAGCCTTTTCATAATCATGCCCAATAACGGGAGGGTAGGGAAGCCTTACTCTGGGATATGCTGAGAGGCAAATCTAAAGATGTCATGTACTAGTTGTCAATTCTTCCTTTGTTTTAACTTTACCACTTAAATGAAAGAAATGTAGTGATTTTTTTAAATTTTAGTTTAAAAATAGGAATATTACAGCAATTGAGTGGTTTTAGTTTCATTGAAGACAGTTCTACTTTTCCAAACAGTGAAAATGTAGTGAGAGAAATTTGTAATCCTAGCTACAAGGATGGTTTCACTTCTGTTTTCCTTTGCACTGCCATCCCTTGGTGGAGAAAGCTAGAAAGCAGAACTGACAATAACTGGGCGCAAAGGGGAGCAAGGAAAGAGAAAGGGGGACATGTGCCTCAGTATTTACAAACTGGATAACTACCCCCATAGCAGTGTTAGAATAAAATGAAAGATTTCTTTCAGCTTTCGTCTCATAATTTAAATCATCTATAACTTTTTAGTCTTTTACAGTGTAAATATCATTGCTGTTAACACATTTCTTCTTCTGTAAGTACACTTAGCAAATAATCTAATGACAGAATAAGCACCAAAACTTTAAAAAACGTATATATATTGTAAAAGTAATAGATGTTCATTGTATAAAATTTGGAAAAATGTAGAAAAATATAAAGAAATAATCCAAAACACCTACAATCTCACTACCTAGAGGCAGCCTTTTTTTTAACATTTAAATATAATTTTTATGCATGTTATCATAGTTGAGATATAGTGAATTTTACCATTTTTGTATTCAGCTTTTTTCACTTGAATAATAATAAGCATGCAAACATCATCGTAATGGCTTATTTGCAAAATAAAGTATTTTGCTATTCTTCTATTGTTGAATATTCAGATTTTTTTTTTTTTTTTGCTGTTATAAATAACTGTGATAAACATCTTTGTATAGTAAGCTTTTTCTGCATTTCAGGTAATTTTTTTAGGATAGATTCCCAGAAGTGGAATTACTGGGTCAAAGGATATGAATGTTTTTTTAAGGCTCTCCATACATATTCCCAAAGTGCTTTCCGAAAAGATTGTAACATTTTACACTCCTACTGGCAGTTGGCAGTGTAGGAGAGTACCTGTTTCATTATACTCTCCAGCATTGGGTATTCTTATTTTAAAAATCATTACTACTTGAATAGACAATAAATGATATCTCATTAAGTCTCATGTCTTTGATTATTAGATTATTTTTTTAATGTCTAATAGTCATTTGGTATTTCATTGTGTGTGTGTAGGAATTATTAGTTCATGTCCTTTGCCTATTTATCTATTGTAATTGTTTTTCTTATTGATTTGTTTTAATTGTCTGTACCTAGGATATTAAATGTATCTGGCATATCTATTATAAACATTAGCACACAATCTGAAACATAGAAACCAAAGTTTAGTAAAAGGATCTGGTTCAACATTACATGCTTTCGTTATAGTAAAAATAATGTAATGAATGACATTACTAATGAGTTGAATTAAAAGAACTAAAGCAAAGTTGATGCCCATTTCTATTAGCACAAAGTGCTATTCCTATTATACTAGTCTCTTCCTTTTAAAAAACAGACAGAAGCAGGAAAAAAAGAAAATTTCTGTATTATAGTATTATATTTTAGCTAGCAATTTGGAGATAGTTTGCAAAGCTAAAAGTTTGACAGAAGGTTGGAATGTGGGGAGTCGTGAAGGTAATTAGAGGATACACTGGAGGGCAGACCAAAAGATCTGGCAAAGGTTCAGCTTGCTTCTCTCCGTGACCAAGTGGGGTATTGTTCTTTTCTATAATCTTCTGTGCCAATTGACACATTATAGGTGGAAACAAACTTTATCTAAACATGCTAATATTTTATTCTTATTTATTTTCTTATGAATACTTCTAAATCTTAATTTGAGTAGCTTAATGTGAAAAAAAAAACAATTAAAAATAACCTTAAAATTGTACATTTGGTTTGCCATGTGCCTTTTATACACATTATTTCCTTTCATTTGATAAAGTCCTCACAAATCCCCATGAATTGGTTATCTTTCCTGTATACCTTTTAGACATGAGAAGCAAAACAGTAGATTGCTAAAGTATACTTCAATATTTATACTATTATACAATATGTATACTTCAAATATTCAGTATTTACATTTTTTAGGTTCCAAATTAAACTTTTAGCTTTCATAAGATCCTGTGAAGTGGATAGGATTATCCCTAGTATATTCACCCTCCTAACACCAGCGATATAGAGTATTTTGTCGTCAACTCCACTATTTACTATGAAGTCCAATATCTAGTATTTTGTTTCAAAACTTTTGACCTTTCTAACTATGCTCTAGAAAACTTGATTCATAAGATTATGGACCTAGAATGGATTTTAAGAGGTAATTTGGTCCAACTCCCTTCCTATTATTGAGCAACAACTAGATTATCCTGATTAAATAGAGGATATTTTATTGTCTATAATATTCTTAATGATTTTAGGAAGAAGATTTAATAATATTTCCTAATATTCTACTCCAATATCTGGAAATTCTCCCCTTTGTCTAATTCAAATCTGACCTGATACGTTTTGTTCATTTTTTATTCTATCCTGAATAGCTGCTTAGTAACTGCTTTTTAAAAAATTTCGTATACTTGAAGATCATTTTCAAATCATCTGTGACTTCATTCTCTTCTGAGTCCATTAAGTAGTAATTGACATTCGGTGTTGGTTTATCTTAGGGTTACAATAAGGCAGTGGATTGGTGGGCATTAGGAGTGTTAATCTATGAAATGGCAGCTGGCTACCCCCCATTCTTTGCAGACCAACCAATTCAAATTTATGAAAAGATTGTTTCTGGAAAGGTAAGTAATACATTTTATTATTCCTCTATTATTCCTTATTTCTATAATGAATTTTAAGCTTTGTAGATTGAAACCATTTGATGTCATCAGAATAGTACCCTAAATTGAGAAAAATACAGAAATATCTATAGTTACTGCCCTTGTATCTAGCATTCATTTAAGAGAACAGCATAAATATTAAATCATTAAGTCTCTTAAGAAAAAAGGGCAGTTTTGCAAACAAATTAGCAAAATAGTAAAGCAATTTTCTTTTTTTATCTCTTACAAAACACAGGATCATAGCCCTAAATCTCAGTATTCCTTCAAATAAATAAAAATTGTTAGTTATTTTATGTGGATATATTCTTTGAGAGAAGTTTTAGGAGCTGTTTTTATGTGCCCTTGCTTTTTCAGGAGAGACTTCTTGTTTGAATTATGTCAAACGCCACAAAATTGGAAGTAAATATAAAATAGATAATTCCTTTTTAAGACGGAAATTCGTAGAAATGATGTAAACAATTGTTCATATTGATTGTGATTATAATTGCCATTGATCTTTAGCAAATATGGAAATAACATTAATTTTTCTCTGACGTGAACAGATTTACGATAAATCACAGTACTTTACATTTTGTAATTACTCCATAAACCTTCCTTCTTTTGCATTTATAATCCCTAATTTTGTTTCCAAAAGTATTTTGTTTAAAGTCAACCGTTCATTCTTCCTTCAGTCATATCTCAAATCTTTTTTAAAAATACTACAGTCAAATTTAATAGAGATGAGTCTAATTCTTCCCACTGTGTAGCAAAGAAAGAGTAGACTTTTGAAAATTTCAAAGAGGCCCTCTGTGCATTTATGATAGAGTTTATAGGAAGGGATATTTTCCCTTTCTCCTATTCCTACGTGTTGTACGCTGTGTTAGTGTCTTTTTTTTTTTTTTTACAGCTCCATTTAGAATATGGCCAGAAAATAGAGCATCAGTCTTGATATGACATTACCCTGAGGTGTGATGTAGCTGACTTTTTTGTCTTTTGTGACCTTTGACAGGGATTAGCCTAATCAACCTAAAGAATCTGGAAGGAGATAAAGGAAAAATCTTTCTTTATATTTCATCCATGTTCATGCTCTACATTTTGTGTGAAAGCTGACCCTCAGCATCCATGAACTTAAAATTTATACTGTCAGCTATTCAGAAGGTACCCTAAAGGTCCGTAATATAGTAATTTAGCATTTTTACCAACACCCAAATTTAAATCATGAGTGCTGCATAGCTGAGCTGTAGGAACAAGACACCATTAGAATGAGTCTATTTAGCCACCTAGAATCCACATCGCAATACAGTATTGTTCCATATCTCCTAGTACATATGCAGTCTACAGGGATCACAAGATTTTCAGTTACATTTTACTGCATTTTATGGGGAAAGTTTTATGTTATGGCAGTATTCACAAATTAGGGGACTAACTAAAGAATATATATATGTCAAAGGTGAAAAATAAATACCTCTTACAGATAACTAAGCCAGGTGTTGAAAGATTTACACTAAGGTAATACAGAAAGGCAGAATGAAATTTTTAAGTCATTAGGTATTGCTGCTGCCCCCATTACATTTGTAGATCTCTAGGCTTGAGGTTTCTTATCATTGTAATCGTTTTCACGTAGCAGATATTAAAGTCACAGTAAAAGAACTTTTGAGATGAGCAAAACAAAACATCAAGAAAATTAATAGACAAGACAGTGGTTCATTTTTAAGAATTTGAGGGGCCGGCCCGGTGGCGCAAGCGGTTAAGTGCGCGTGCTCCACTGCGGCGGCCCGGGGTTCGCCGGATCAGATCCCGGGCGCGTACCGACGCACTGCTTGGCAAGCCATGCTGTGGCGGCATCCCGTATAAAGTGGGGGAAGAAGGGCACAGATGTTAGCCCAGGGCCAGTCTTCCTCAGCAAAAAGAGGAGAATTGGCAGATGTTACCACAGGGCTGATCTTCCTCACCAAAAAAAAAAAAAAAAAGAATTTGAGAAGTGATTATATAAAATCTCAAGAGAGAATGAGAATGGAAGGTCATATGAAGAATGATGAGAGACTAAAATGCTTTAAAATCACTGAATGGGAGAAGCACATAGTCCCCCCTTACCTGCAGTTGCACTTTCTGTGGTTTCTGTTACTGTAGTCAACCACGGTCAGGAAACAGATGATCTTTCTTCTGACATCCTGTCAGAAGATCAGTAGTAGCCTAACACTACGCCACAATGCCTACATCACTCACCTCTCTCCATCTCATCATGTAGGCATTGTGTCGTCTCACATATCACAAGAAGGGGGAGTGCAGTACAGTAAGATATTTTGAGAGAGAGACCACGTTCACATAACTTTTATTACAATATATTGTTATAAGTGTTCTATTTTATTATTGGTTATTATACTTAATCTCTTTCTGTGCCCAATTTATAAGTTAAACTTTATCATAGTTATGTATGTATAGGAAAAAACATAGTATATTTAGGATTCAGTACCATCCACAATTTCAGACATCCAATGGGGGTCTTCAAATGTATCCCTTGTGGATGAGGGGGGACTACAGTATTTTACTAATACAAAGACTAAGAATGCAGAAATTCTAGTAATAATTTCAAATAATTTAATTACAAAGTAGTTACAAAGTACCTAAATCTTTAGTTAATTTCATAAAAGGAATCAAATTTTCTGACAAGCATGCTGTCATAACTAAATTTCATTTGCTTAGAAAAATTGCTTTGGTTAAAATGAATGTATCTTTATCTGTATGAATTGGCCTTCGTTTGCCAGTCATTCTACATTGTATAAAATTTTTTTCAGCTGTTTATGAAACATTTTTATTTCATATTAAGCTTTAACATTTAGATCCAATATTAGCTTAAAATTTAAATCTTCATATATTCTAAAATCTTCACAGTTTAAATCCTAGTTACTTTAGAAAAGTACACATAAAATTTTATCATATTATGATGTCTGCTTTTTTTCTTCATTTGTATGGAAATATGATAAAGTGTTTGAGGTATTATTTTTTTTAACTAAATGTGCCAGATTATCTCTTTCCATGTTGGATATAAAGTTATTTTCATCCCTTGTTCCATTTACTCATTTAAAGTGTAACTCATGAAAGCAGAACATTGCTGTTAAGTGATCTCTAGGATCTGTGTTATGTGAACATAAATCATATTCACCTTTTCTTAATAAAACCATCTGTTTCAACACTCACATCCAAACTAGAATGTATCTCTGTCCACATTATAAAAATATTATTATCTCTCTCATCCGTAGCAAAAGCCAAATTGGAGACTGACTAGTTTTTAAATTTTTTTAGTTGTTCAAATCATTAGAAGTCCAATTTTGGTCTTAGAGATGCTATGTTTGTATTTAAAATTTTTAATGGTTTAGTGATACAATATATCATTTAAAAGTATACTTTTCATTCAGAATTGCTTTTTCTGATTTTTTTAAAAGCATGTTATTATTTTATGCAACAACATTTATATTGATTATATTTTCCATCCTGAGATCATGTTGTAAAGATTATAGGTATCAGTGACTTATCAAAGTTAAAATAAAATATTTGACGAAGTTACTAATTCACTAAAGTACGTATATTTGAACATTTGATTGTTAAGTACTTTCTCTATTACAGTATTTTAACTCAAGCTGGTATTTTCAAATGCACAGATAGATGATCAATCAGCTTGTTAGATTCTCTCCTACACATATTTTGCCTTTTACAAAACAGAGGAGGTGGTATTTAAATGTCAAATTATTCATGCAGTATTAAGGTTCAGGTTTAGAAATGCATAGTTGACAGAAAAGTCTTATAATTCCTGCATTAACTATGCCTCATCCTAGCAATACATATGCTGAGTTTCTTTATATAGTGTTTAGATTTCATACCTCAGTGCCATATACTCTAAGACAAGAATCGCTTATGGTTTCCACAGCAACTCTATCTGGCTGCATTACTCTTGGGAATATAAAAGTTAATATTGTGTTCAAAAATGATACTTGCAAATAAGGCAGTCAAGTAACAGCTGTTGTGGAAATCATAACTGTAGAGTCCTTATTTAATTTAAAAAAGTCTTAGCTTCATTATATATAAAGTAAATATTATTCCACTTTTAATGAGCACCAAAACTGTGCACTGAGACACTATACAAAATATAAAGTTGTAAACATACATATACATAGAATGATCAAAGAGTCTATTACTTTTTTCCTGAAGGGAAATTCACATTCACATGAAGGGTAATTGATTAGCATCCAGATGGATGTTCCCCTCTGTGTCCAGGGTCCCCAAGACCATTCCCAGGTTAGGTGATTCACTAGGAAGACTGACAGAGTTCAGCAGATACTCAAGGAACAAATACCTTATGCTGTAACATGTACCTTCATGGTAAGGTACCTTACAAGGAAGGATGTAAAGCAAAATCAGCAAAGGGAGAAGGCACATGGGGCCATGTCCAGAGGAAACCAGGCACAAGCTTCCAAGAGTCCTCCCAGTAGAGTCACAGGGGATGTACTTAATTCCTCCAGCAACAAACTGTGACGACATGGGTGCTATGTTGTTCATCAGGGAAGCTCATTAGAGACTCATGCCCAAGGATTTTATTGGGATCACATATGTACCCTAGCACATACCAAAATCCCAGACTCCCAGAACAAAAGTAGATGTTTAGCATAAACCATATTGTTTGTACAAACAGTTCAGGTACAGTGAGCCACTCATATCATTTAGGGAAAGTTTCATATCAGTGTGAGGAACTGTTACCATTTCAGTTCCCAGATACCAGTCAAGGGCCAAACTTGCTAGCAGGGTAGCAGTCTTCCTTAAGGGTAGCAGTCTCAGGCCTGCTGCATCATCTCTCTTCTGCATATGTTCTCTTTCCTAAATAACATACACGTATGCAGATATACCACTACACTTTTTCTAAAATGCCATTGTTACTCCTTTTGGGAAAATTAAAATGCCATTTTCTGTTTAGCTATGGCTATAGTTAAAGAGACTTAGAGTACTCAGTAGTCATTTTCATAAAATACAAAAGCAGTTTTACCATTTGCATAAAACCCATGGCTGTTTTTTAACACCTTGCTGTGATCATTTAAAGTTCTTCTTAATCTCTGCTTTGAGACAGTCCTTACTCTAGCGATCCTATGGGCAAATGACTGCAACTTGTTTTGCAGGGGAGGGAATGAAGATGGGGTGGGTAATAGCCCTCTGCAACCATCTGGATTTGTTATAGCTACCTCTGTTTCTACATAGGTAAGAGAACAGATCAGAGAGCCCACAGTCATGGTACTAATATTTATAAGTATTTTTTTTTAATGTCCTAGATCTTTCTTTTTATATATAGGATCTAGGTTGATTACAGTTTTCCTAGGTCCTATGAGGCAGTGTGGAGCTTGGCACCATATCTACAGAAAGCCTAATATATGAAAAGTTGTTATGCCTTTTGAAAAATTAACTAATGTATATGTTCATTTTTGCTAGATAAATTTTTTACTGGGATTATAGATTTCTTAGAACTGTACCTAATTTAGAGACATAATTTCTTAAAATTTATTCTAACATGCTGTGGACAGAAATTAACAGATTATTGTTTGTTGGCTGTGTGCAAATTCTTTTGAGTCATTTAAGCTCAGTAAATATTATCCCAATGCATAAGAAATCATGTTATTCGTTAAATGGTCTTTTCCCCTGTCAATTAGAGAAGAATAGCAGTAAAAAATTTTTCCTTCTTCAAAGATCAGCTTTGTAGTTTCTGTGATTAAGCTGAGTGTAGACAAATTTGATTTTGATCTTATTTTATTTCTAAAATTAAAAAAAAAACTCAGAAAACCAGTTAGTGAATTTAAATCACCTAGTATGGATACCATACCAACATGAACAGATTTGCTTATTAGATGTAACTTCCTCTTAAATTTTTAGAAAATAGTCATTCCTAAAACCAAAATGTACAAGACTTTATAATTGGGACTGAAAGCAGAACAAATATTCTGTTGAGTTTGCTCATTCAGAGTGAATTTCATAGTTGGTTTAACATATTACATAATTTGACAAAGTTGTTTTAGATAGCTATATCCACAATGCTGTCCTTATAAAACACGGTTATAGTTGTCCATTTTCTCCCTTGCTCTATCAAATTTAAGTACCGTAAGAAAATAAGAAAGTGTTTGTTCTATAACTTAACAGGTGGAGCATGATACAAGAAGAAAGGAGGAACTTCTTGCACTCTCCAAATGACTTTTCTAGCACAAACTGTCCTTGGGTAGTCTGGAAACATAATAATGGATATTGCTAACTTCCAAGTTCCTTCTTGGATTCAGAAATTCAGCTTCAGATCATCAAAATATTACTCTAATGGAAAGGTTGAAAAAATAAAAATGGTATTGAATTAATGCCTACAAGATACCAGGCATGATGCAAGGCAGTTTCATAAAAATTACCTGATTTCTTTACACACCTGCCGGATGACATATACTCTCATCATTTTATAAATGAGGTAACTGAGACTCAGAAAGGTAAAAAGCATAGAGTATTATGTAACTGCAGTTGGAATTGGAACCCAGGTATTCTTTCTACTTAAAGAAATAGCTTGGTAGAATTTTTGAGACGGCCAGAATGTTCGATTTTATTTAGTTTAATTCCTTTATCCCTTATGTAGGTAAATCAAGACTCAGAATTGCCCAAAAATAAAAAACAGTTTGTGGCAAAGCAAGAAATAGAATCTAGTTCAGTGGTTCATTTATTATTCCTTCACTTGGCTTCAATGACTCTTCACAATCTTAGTTTTATTCCTGCTTTACTGATCTTTCCTTCTCAATCTTCTTGGCTTGGTCCTCTTCTTTTCTTTATCTGTACTTCCTCCATTGGTGGTCTTATCCAGTCTCATGACTTTAAATGCCGGCTGACAACTCCCAAATTCATTTTTTCAGTCTATATCTGACTCTTGAGTTGCAGTCTCTTGTATCCAACTTCCTAGCTGAGATCTCCACTCAGATGTCAAAAAATATCTCAAATTCAACCTGTCTAAAACTAACAAATTTTTGTCTTCCCTAGCAAGTCTGTTCCTCCCACTGCCTTTCTCATCTCAGTTGATGACAACACCATCCTTTCAGTTACTCAGGCCGAAACACCCTGGAATCCTCACCCCACATCTAATGCACAGGAAAACCATTTTGGCTCTATCTTTAGAATATATGCAAGGGGCTGGCCCCATGGCTTAGCAGTTAAGTGCACATGCTCCGAACTGGCAGCCCGGGTTCGGATCCAGGCGCACACCGACGCACCGCTTGTCCAGCCATGCTGAGGCGGCATCCCATATACAGCAACTAGAAGGATGTGCAGCTATGACATACAACTATCTACTGGGGCTTTGGGGAGAAAAGGGGAAGAAAAAAAAAAGGAGGAGGATTGGCAATAGATGTTAGCTCAGGGCCGGTCTTCCTCAGCAAAAAGAGGAGGATTGGCATGGATGTTAGCTCAGGGCTGACCTTCCTCAGAAGATCAAAAAAAAAA